TATACATCTGTTTTAGTTCAAAATAATCACAGAACACAATAACTCATCATTTCACGATGTGCCTTAAAATTTAAAATTTTTATCTTGATGAGTAAACTGGAATGCACGGCTATTGCCTGTTATAAAAATACACGTGTAGAAGTTGACGTTTCAAAAGTCTTCCATCTTCAGGGACCTTAAGACAGAAAACTTTCGAAACGTCATCCTCTACACTTGTAGAGTAGCCATCCATTCCAGTTTACACATCATGAATATTCTGCCTATAAAACAGTTTTTTTCTTTCTTTCAGGACATTTTCTTCTAACATGTCTTCTTCTTGATCAGCTAAAAGCTTCAACTGAAGGGGCACGAATAGTTGTCGTTTCTGCTCTTGCTCACAAATTTGTGTCAATAAATCTTAAAGAAATAAATTCAGAAGAAGGCTATGTATCCTGGAAAGCTTATTCCCGGTCAAAACTGGCTAATATCCTGTTTGCTCGAGAATTAACTAAACTTTTGAAAGGTACTTTTTCTTTTTTTACATTTTGGGGATGGTAGGCCATATATTGTCATCATTTTGATGAAAGTTTCTCCTTTTGTAACTTACAGATGAGTGTCATTGGTGTATATTCTCAAACCAGGTAAAGCTATGTGAAAATATATACATTTTGGCTCTTGATTTGTCAAGCTTTACAATGCAAAAGATAATAGCATTTGGTTTAGAAAAATGGCATTATGATAAACCATATCTTGGCAAAACATAATATTAACCGAGTGATACAAAGTTTCAGTACAGATAAGAACTTACAAAACTTAATCCAGTATTGTTTTACTTGAATTGTATTATGAAATAAAACCAGACTATTATTGTGATGTGACAGAATAAACTTTTTTTTTACTTATGTTAACAGGTTCAAATGTTACAGTGAACAGCCTTCACCCAGGCATAGTGGAGACAGACTTGCTTCGTCACTTAGTAGTATATAAAGTCTTCAGATATTGTGCTTGGCCATTTATAAAATTCTTCCTCAAAACTCCAAGAGAGGGTGCTCAGACCAGTGTGTACGTAGCAGTTTCACCTGATCTCGCAGGGGTATCAGGAAAATATTTCAGGT